GGACTCAGGGCCGCGCTGCCAACCGCGCTAGGGCAGAACGGATGAGTCAGCACGCTGCCCCCCACACCCCATCCCTTGACGGGACGGGACCGCCTCGCGGCCGCAGGCCAAACTCCCGGTTGAAGCCAGCAGAGTTAAGCCTCCAACGTGACAACGCCACTGTACTGCTAGGGCTACTGAACTTCAGTGCGCTTGTTCAGAATAGGGCGTTTTCACGTATGGTCTACACGCGACACAGTAACAAATGCTCCCCATCTGATACTTAAAACCCCCCGCACCAACAGGACCCAACCGCGGGAGACTGTCCACGCAACGCATTCTGCTAACGTTAATCCCACTAACTGTGAACGACTGACTCCATGTGTCCACTGACAACTAAAGCCACCCGTCCCGGCTCGGTGTCAGCGTGGAGTCTTGCTCCACCCGCCTGGCGATCGCCAGACCGCAGTCTGCTCTTGTGAGGCGGAAGGTGACCGAGAGCCGGTGACCGAGAGCCGGGGCGCGCAGCATGCCCCTCAGCTGGCCCTGCCCGGCGAGTCGGTGTCACAGCCCTCGGCGGCCGTGGGCAGAGCTCAGCTCCTCGCTCACGAGGGGATGACAAACACGCAAGCAGGTATGGAACATTCTAAAAAAAATCAGAATAGCACCGCCTTGTATTTGAAAAAACCCCCCACCTGACTATTGTAAAATGGTGCCTTCAGAAGTTCTGTTCTTGTGTGGTTTACTATTACATTGTACCATTTTTGATTATTAATTGGGGGGAAGGTATAAAATATTTGTAACTTCCTCAAGGCATGAATTGGACTGACTTTTGGTGAGAGGCGAGGTCGGGCAGACAGTGAAGGTGACACAGTTAACATTAATGAGGCTCGGGGGAAAACTGTTCCTAGGCAACCCTGACTGAAAGTGAAGGCTGGTAAACTAACGAATCTATGCTCTGCAACTGAAACGAGAGAAAGTGTACAAGATCTTGATGAGTCTTCAAAAAAAGTCAGAAGACTTCCCTCGTGTAAACAATCGCCAAAACTAGATTTAAGCAGTATTACCAACCCTTTAAAGATCACAACTTCGCTACTAAAATAACTATATTAGAAATACTCCGTGTTCTTGTGTTATTTCAGCGCTGGTTTTAAAGCCAGACCTCTGGTCACTTCTGTAGACTTTACCCTACACCAGGGGCAGAATGAAAAGCTTACATTAATGTGAAAAAGGAAGCTGAGATTCTCAGTCATTGGTCTAAGGATCCTGAGGCTTTAAGAAAATCACCATTATATACCGGCATCACTTTTTAATATGCAAATCTTTCAGGAAAGCAAATCTCATTCTTTAAGATGTACATCTATGAGGAATTAAATGCCTCATGTTACCATTATTGAACCAGACTTATCACCTTTGGTCATAAACACGAATTCTTTTCACTTAGCAGATGTTCTATATTATCTTCATTCAGTGACTGTTTGGCAACTACTTACTATTAAGAGTGGACTGCGATCCCAGATCCATCTTGTTGTTACAGTTGCACAACTGAAGTCTGCATGAGAGCCGTCGTGTTTGACTGGGAACCCAATTTCTCCTGCCCAGTGGAGACACCTAAAACAAAAATTAAAAAAAGAATCTTTCAGGCAGTTAAATCCAAAATTACAGTCCCCAAATACTACCTACAATAGTCAACCCCTTTAGACAATGTGTAAAATCCTGCTTAGCTGAAGTCCTGCCAGCTCAGTCCTCTGAGACTAAACAGCAGAAACCCTTCAACAGCTAAGTGAGCAAGACGTATCTTAAGCAGCCAATGACTGGACTAAAACTTTCACCAAATGCAGTTATGACCACTCATAAGCATCCACTAGAGGAGTTACCGGCTTTGTCCTATGCGTGTTACCTAACGGTATAAAACTTAATTCAGAAGTAGTGCTGTGCACACCTGCAGTGCCTGGTGCTGAAAACCACAAACTGCAACTTTGTCACTATTCAGAACACAAGTACTTTCACAAGTCGGTTTTCTTTTTTTTTTTTAATGCTGGCAACATATTTCTAATTAGAAAAATGGGGAGGGCTGTTCTAGCTTTTAAAACTGAATGTATTATTAATAATTGGAAATACATTGATCCCTATCACACTGATGAGGCATGTTGTACCAGTCAACGGTGTCCTGGGTTTGGCCAGGACAGGGTTAATTTTCGCCAGACTCCAGGAAGGGGCGCAGCCGGGGGGGTGGGGGCTGACCCCACCTGGCCAAACAGAGCCAGGTATTCCATACCATGCAATGTCATGCTGGGTTCCGGTGGGGGGGGCGGCGCGGCGCGAACTCGCTCGCGGCT